TATATAACAATCTTTTCTTCATTTTCACTATTAAGCACTATCAGCAACGTCTGCCATTTCAAGAAAGGGAATGTCAGACTCATTTCCCCAAACTGATAAATTAGTGCTATTAAAACCATGGTTTTTCATCTTGCAGCACTTCATGTATGCAGACCCTGATCTGCAGTAACAACAGCTCATTGTTATTGTACATGAATAATGTTCTATTGTCGTATTCATTGATTTAATGTAAAATGAAAATTACAAACCATATTCCAAGTCAAGAAGGCAAGTCTGACAAACATTCTTCAGCTTGCTACATGTTTGGCACACTTCTGTCTTCTTAAAACGCATACGAACACCCGGGCACCAACGAAAAACTGTGAACGGCCTAGCACAGATCTGAAACAATTATTACATCAATGTACCCAATCCTAACCTAAATTCATTTTAATGCAATATTTTATTTAAGATATTTTTATCATGCCTATGTTCTATGCCCTTTTAGCTGGCTGACACGTTACACATCAAAATAAATTCCTACATTAAGTCAATATCTCAACTTACACATAGATGCACATACCTAATTTTCCATTATTCATGGGACATACTGTGGTCTGAAAAATCTATTTCGAGTGATTCAATCTTACTTGTTGAAATAAAAAAATAAGATGTGAGCACTGAAGTTAATACCACCCCTTTTAAACAGAATATACCATATTATTCAAAGATTGAGAGATTCTGGCTACGTTGGTCTAGTTTTTTTATGTCATACACATTCCACTGACTAAACTACCCTTACGATTTAAATGCGTACCTTTAGAACCAAGATACTTACATCTAAAGAAAAATAGCTAACCTATTTTTAGATAATGACATTAACAAGCTGGATTCATAACACATGCTTAATTCTAAATCCAAGTTAACCAAATATAGTGTCCACATAATATGCTAAATTCAAACAAATAATGTTACAGTTTAAGATGATGGCCTGGTTCATACAATTTCCTAAGTAAATGGTGAAATTACCACAACACACAGAACCATAAGCTATGTTTTGTGTGCCATTGTTTACAATTAGATTTGTTTTTTTCAAGTGAAAATCCTACCTTGCATTCTTTTCCGTATTTTTCTTTGGTCTAAAATATAGGGAGGAAAAAGCATATTATAACAGATAATTGTCCCAAGATGATATGTATTTCAAAAATCAAGATTTGTTTTTTCATCATCCACAAAGCACATTCATGTTTTGTACATTACTTTCATCTGTCAGACTTTGCTGAGGAACAGAACACAATGCACGCTAGTCTCCAATCATTAGTTAAATCAAAAGAGTAACATACAAGAAATCTTCACCCTGCATCTTCCAAAAAGTCTAGATATCATACTCCTATCAGAAACCTATCTCTTGATCTCCTTGAAGTTTCAGTGTGCCATCCTCTTCAAAGAAAGAGTTAGATTTTCAGGTACCAAAAGAGATACACATATAAATACAAAGAAATTTATTAATGTACTTGAAAAAGGCAACTCACACATGGTGAGTACATAGATCTCTTGACTGGATAAACATGAAGAACTATAATTAAGTACAGAGGAGACAGAGAATTATGTCTGCTTTAATCTTGATCTTACCCACTCAGCTAAATTAATATTTTCCTTTTATCTTCATTATGCTTTCTACTATCATTTCATCACAAAAAAACATACCATTCGAATATAGGGATTTTCTCCAAGACAGGTCTGGCACAAAATGGGGAAGTCCTACAGGGAAGAAAGTGTAATTATTCCAAGACCAAGATAATACCACACCTCATCATGTTCCTATTTCACACAGCAGGCAATACTGTATGTAAAAAGTCGGCAGTTTTCAAGGAATGACACAACTCTTCCAATCACACCTAGCTGCAGGGTCACAAGGAGGCACAAGCTGCCTCAAAGAGAAAGGAAGCCACGCGCCTCGTTCCTTCGGGCGAGTTGATCAGCGTACGTGGCCGCCCAGGACTCTCCGTGTGAACTGGGGCGGAAGCCAGCCTTGCTCCAGAAGACTCGGCCTCTCTATCCTGCCGCAGGGAGCTCGGCTCAGGCGAGCAGGCAGCAGCCCCGGCCTCCGCGCGCTTTCCAACTTCCCTTCTCGAGCAAGGATCCGAAACCTCTTCAGACACCGAGCGGGACGATGCCAACCTCAAAGTTGCCCGCCTCAAAGCCACCCTCTCCCTCCCACCAAAGCCAGGCACGCAAACCCAAAGGACGACATTTTTACCGCATCCTCCCAGTTCTGCCGATTATACGTGTTGGATCCCAAAGACGTCGCCATTTTATTGTGCTTAAAAAAAAAAAAAAAAAAAACGGGCCCGGAAGTAGACGCTCTGTATCCGGAAGTACCCTGCCGCGGTCCAGGTCCTGACCAATGGATGCAGGGGTGGGTAACACGTGCTCTTTCATGCCCTGTGAGATGGGGCTGCTCCAGTTTGCTCTGCTGCAGCGGCGGCGCGTCCCCTGGGCTTGTCCCCGAGCCTGACCTGCAAGCGCGGGTTGGCTTATCGTTGGGCGTGGGCGAAGCGCTTCCACTGACTGTAGTTTAATTGCAGACTAAGGTGTGAGACGGTTTTGGGGGGAGAATTGAAATGGACAAAGAGAAAATGACCGGGAAGGGTGGTCGGGTGCATTTTCCAGCATTATTGACAACCCAGGTCGTTAGGATACTCGTAGCTACAGCATCACAGTTCAGGGTTCCTTTTAATCTCAGCTCGGCTTCCGAGCACCGCGTACTCTGCAGGTAATATACTGCTCTAACTCAGGCTGCTATCCGGAAGACCCACTGAGTAAAGCGGAGCTTACTTCTGATTAAGCTTACACGACAGAGGAGGAGTCTGTTGTGCATACTTTTCTGGGCGTAAAACTCCAGAAGAAAACATGTTTGTCAGCAATCAGGCATTTATTCTGGAATAAGCGTTTGGGAACTACATTCACACAATACCTGGCTGTTAAACGATGTTTTTACTCCGTAAAACTTTTTGCTCCGCTGGTTTTGTTGTTGCTTTTGTGTAGTAAATTGGGAATGATTTTTCCTGACCCCGAACTTTGGTTATGTGGATTATTGGTGGTTCTGTTTCATCGTTCTTTGGTTTTAACTTCTTATATTCCCCCAGAGTTATAAAGTCATTACTATGAGATGGGCGGCCATATAAATGATTTAAATACTACTGCTACCACTACTTATTATTGTTGCTTGTTTTATTGATTTAAGATCATCCCCCTTTAGCAAGGGTTGGTTTTGTTTATGTTTGTAAACTGTGGAATACTGTAAGGCAGTATACTCAACAATTAGCTTTGTCATTGTGGCCCCAAGCCATAAAATCCAGAGATTTGGCAATTCAGGCCAATGTATTTCTACTCAGATTCCCCACCTCCACCCTGCTCCCCAGGTACATGGTAGTTTTCAAAACATTTACATTTTTTCAGTAAATATTTTCCAAAGTCTTAGAATCAGGCACTAGCTTTCAACGTTATTGTCTAGTGTAATTCTTCAGTTAAAGAATGCTTTACAGTACTCAGTTTTCTACTAATATACCTTGCAGGCTCAATTTATCATCCAGCTCTGAAGTTGAATGTAAGAGCCTTAAAATAGCTTCAAGATACACCTTGGTCACTCCTAAATTGGCATATTTTTTTTTTATTCAGAACATGTTAGCAAACAAAATTCTCTGATCCTGGTCAAAACACAATCCAAAGCATTCTGAATTCTATTTTTTTTTTTTACCAGGCCCTATGCCAAGTCCTGTATCTCAGGCTTTTGCCTTGTACTGTATGGGCAGGTGGCAGGAAGAGAAATGACATGAAAACTAATCAGGAAGTTGCCGCTAGGAAAACTATTTTTGGAGTTTTTAAAAAGCTATGATCTTGGTGGAATGGATTACATATCAAATGGAAATGAATAATTCTTGGAATCAGGGAGCTGGCTATAGAGCCTTAAATGTATGGTTTTATATTGTAAATGGCTCTACACATAGATGGACCAAGACATTAACTCTAAATGGTTATGTAGCCCACCATGGATATGTTTAGAGGCTTATTTATCATTTCTATAGCAGCATTCTCAAGACTCACATCTCTTCTAAAGAACTTCGCTAGCTCTATAGCCAGCAGGAAATTTTGCATAGTCTACTCTCTACCCTCTAGAACAGTGTGTTATATTGCCCTAATTCTGAGCTGGCTTGTGATGGAAGTACATCTCACCCTAATGTATTACATCTTTCAGTTCCTGCCTATTTCCAGTCTTACCCTTTTGATTGTCACTATAGAGCATCTGGAATGACTCTTTAGTTTTAGCTTTAATTTGCTAAAGGACAATTAACATTTCTACCTGCAAGGAGTGTCTCACAGCAGACATCACTATAGAAGTGATTTTCACTGAGAAAAGCAAATAATTTTACTAAAGTAATGTTTGCTATTTGGTTTCTTATCATTCATTTTAAATGTGCTATGTCTGAGTTGCTTAGATTAGCAGGATATAAATGGGATGAATGCTTTCAAATAATCTAAAATGTTATAATCAGTTACTCCAATTATCATGCCTGTAAGTACAACAGATGTTTCATAGGTGATATAAACTAAGTTAGTAATATAAGTTAATTATCATTTCAGCTAACCTTTTATATAGAAAGGCATTGATCAGATTCAATTTGTGAATGCTAAAAATCACAATTTTTCACTGTTTATGGAATAACTCAAAATTTGGGGGTATTGCATGCCTTGTAAAAGATGTGCAAAAGTGATTTGTAGGTCCACTATTACAAATCATGATGTTATGCTGGCATTACCAAAAGAAGTGTAGGCCAATTATTTCTGTCATACAAATATGACAGAAAAATCTTAAATATGGTAAAGGAAAAAATACACGAAAACAGCTTTGTCTGCTTATTTATTTGAAGTTCACTAATTATACAATAAGGCAACACAGTCATCCTAATATTGATAAAGGCAGAATGTCCCTCCAGTGAGATATTTTTACAGATATGTGAAGTGGGATATGTACAAATATTCCTACATTCTAAAAGATTAAAAAAAGAAAAAAGAATGTCAAGTATGCCCAACATTTCTATGTGCTTTACAAGGTTACTTAAATATATATCAGTTCATTGCAATATTATCCCAACTTATCAACTGAACTAATATAGCGTGGGAAGTTAAATCAAGGATTAACTGCAGTTAGTGTATAAATTGAGAACAGCAGACACTAATACTGTACTACATATTGAGGAATAAATATTGCCCAGACTTCTTAAATTCATGCTTTACAATGTATATAATCTACATCAAACTTTTTTTTACATCAATTGCACAAACTAGAAAGGTGCAACTTTTATTCAAATTTAAATTATTCAAATTAAACCAATTAAGACTACTTAAACATACCTCCTAACAAAATAGAAAATATATTTCCAAGAGCCTTGAGTACATCTCCCATTTATACATTTCTATTCATCTTCTCCATCCCAATCTTGGACTACATGATAAGTAATCATACTGTAATGTGTGCCCATGGCCAACAGTCTGCAATCAGATCTTTTCACTTTCCCATTACATACAATGTGTATGCAGTGCTACAATATTAAATTTCAAATCATTGACGTTCAAGACCCAAATCTTGGGAATTATACTTTATAATAATTTATTTATTCACTTTCCTACTAATAAAGCCTAACAAAAGCCATTCAGTACAGAAATAAGATCTTATACATTCAGTGCAAAACTGCACAGTGGATGGTGGTACCTACTTTCCCAAGAGGTCTTAAATTTCAGATTTACATACTAAAAGTAATTAAAATCATCATGAACTATCTTTGGTCAGTATCCCATTCCTAAAGGAATAATTTAAGAAAAACACAAGTGCCTGCCCCAATTCCCCAATGGGATCTTTGCTTCAATAAATGCAATACGGCACAAATGCAACTATCCTAAATTGCATTTCCCTTTAAATATGCATTCTCCAACATAAGAAGTTAAATCCTCCAACTATAATAATATTGATATGACATACATAAGCTATTTTCTTAATTTTCTTCCTTTCAGGAATTGTCCAGAACAAGAGCACATCCCATGAAAAGTCACAATTGGTACATTAAAAAAACTTATCAGTAATATTTGAGATGGATGACAGATAGTGAAAGCAAGACATTTCATGCTGCTGCTGCTGCTTACTGCTTTACTAAGAAGACTACTTGGAATAATTACTACTATCGAAAAATAGTAATCATCTTATGAGAAAATGTACCAGAAAAGGAAAGAGACTGTGGCCAATGCTAGCTTTGTTAAACTGGTGCAAGGAAAGCTAGTAAAAATTTTTGCAAGGAGCTAGTGTGATTTTTCTTGAGGAAGAATAGAAGGTAACCACAAACATGCACGCTAAGGTTGTATTGTAACTCTGACTATGCATGTAGCATAGTGGCAGAACCAATAGTTCACATAATGGATGTAAAGAGAAGGGTTTCTCTTTCAACTCTACATTTTTTGGCTGAAATTTCACTTTCCAAGGAATCTCTGTAAAACAGTATTTTCAGCATTTTATCAGAATGCATTTTCTAAGACACAGTGTAGCAGGTAACCATCATTTAGCATCTAGTTAAGACACAAACTTCAGGGAAGCAGAGGGCCCAGGCTGAGCTCCACATGATGAGTGAGCCAAATGACTTCACAACTCTGATCACATTCCTCTGTGGGGCGGATTGGAGCAGCAAGATTTTTGAACTCATGTTTCATCTTAAAGCTTACAGTAACTTTCCCTTCTTCTTTCTGTGGAGTAACTTTGATGAATATCCCAACTTTGTTAGCCTTCCGAAAAGCTATAATGCTACAAAACAGGAAGAAGAAGAATACCAATAGAGGTGAATATGTATAGCTCAGGGTTGAACTGTGGAGTCCCTGGGGTTCTCCAAGCTCAGAGAACCCCAAGGACTCTACAGAAGAAGAATAGTCTGTTGTTCAAATAAGTAACTGCCAATTCCATTTCTTCCCTGACCTTACAAGCCTCCTATGCAAGCCTCTCAACTTTCAGGAGCAAATAGTATCATCTTCCCTGTCTTTTCATCATGAGAACCATCATTAGAACAATAACATTATCATAAATGGAAGAAGAGCTGGATACAGTCCATATACTCTATCTGGATTTAATAGTTAAAAGCTGTAAAAGCTGCCCATATTTATACTGCAAGAACAATCCTAGCAATGTAATATAATTCAGTATCTCCAAACAGTTTACAAGAGGGACTGGCAACATGGGGAACAAAACATCCATGATATGCCTAGATATAAATACTTTTAAAAATTGAAAATTACTGAAATCTCCTAAGATCAAAACTCTAAGTATTCTCAGATAAGATGTTTGTTTATACATTTTACAAGATTTCAAGTAAAATGCCAAAATCTCAGAAGCATTTATGTGCTCTCACTTGAGGCTGTATGAAATCACTGAAATGTTGCTTATTTTAAATTTATTATAATTATTTAGAAGAGGTTCCCAGCACTTAAAAAGGATGACTTTCACTGGTTTACACTTTATATATATTTAAACTCTCAACTGCAGACATGAGCATCATTAGGATTACTGAACACAATATATTTTCTAGAAGGGGGGGGGGGGCCCCAATGCTATTGGTTGCTGATTAATGAAGTTATTACAACTAAAATAACA